GTAGGGTTTAGGGTTTAAAGTTTAGGGTTTTAAGGCTTTAAGGTTTTAGGGTGTAGGGTTTAGGGTTGGGGTTTAAGGTTTAGGGTCTTAAGGTTTTAGGATTTTAGGGTGTAGGGTTTAGGGTTGGGGTTTCAGGTGCAGGGTTTTAGGGTTTTAAGGCTTTTGGGTGTAGGGTTTAGGGTTGGGGTTTAAGGTTTCGGGCTTCTGGGTTGCCAAGTAACCTGCATACCCCCTTAAAAGCGAGGGAGCGGGGGGTGGGGGGGGGGGGGGGGGTGGGGGTGGGTATGTAGTCTTCTCTCCCTCACTCTGAGGGTATATAGGTTACTAGGTAAACACGATAAGCCCTAAACCCTACAAACGAAGGCTTGAACATGGATTCAGGGGTGACATGGGGAGGTGGTTCCAAATCACGGTCCTGATTCTTTGTCGGGGCCTGTGGCAAAAGGATTCGACTCTCACATGAAGAACTTTAACACCTAAACACTTGGGCCCCTTAAGTGCCCCAATATGATTATAGGCACAGCTTTAAGTACAAATATACTTGGTTAATGAGTACCATGAAGTTCCAAGTAGAACAACTCCACCGGTGCAAGGGTGTGCTTCTGAGGCAGGCAGTACAGTAGAACCTACACACGTCAAACTGGAGCCATCAAGCCAAACAGCACAGTACCTAGGATCCTGAGATCGTGGCCAGGATACTGGTGAGGAGGAAGGTCAGCGCTTCTGTTCCGATCAGCAGAAATGTGGTCAAGGCCTCCAGCAAAGGGTTTAGGGTTTAGGATTTAGGGTTTTAGGGTTTTAGGGTCACACCCTGCGACCCTAACTCTAAAAATACGGCCCTTGCAGGGTTTAGTCTTCAGGGCATAGGCCCTAAGCCATGGGTGAGACGGTGGGGGTGATACCAGAGCTTTCTGGGTATTTGCGCAGTTTCTTACAAAAGGGGACTCCCTTGAAGGGAGCAAGGTGGGGGGGGCCGGACCCCCCTCCCCCCCCCCCCCCCCCCCCCCCCCCTCCCCAAAAAAACCCTAAACCCGAAACTCCCGGAACCCTGAACCAAGGGCTTGCCAAATCACCGGGAAGCCACTGAGGATTGCAAAGGAACTGCCGAAATTATATTAATTTCAAAACCCAAATTAAGCAAATGACGTCGCGCTAAATATGAAACGCGAAATTAGTGACGTCGCGCTTAATTTCAAAATTGAAATTAAGGACGTCGCGCTTAATTTCGTTTCCGAAATTAAGCCTGCCCTGAACTCACTCAAACCCTGCAACAACCTATTAAAAGGAGACCTGGGCCACCCTGAAACAACCCAACAACGACCCTGAAACAACCCTCAACGAGCCTGTCTGCAGCCCAAACCCCAATGTCAAGCCGACTTGGGAACAACCTAAGCCCTGTACCCCAAACCTTGCCCCAAACCCTGAAAAAACCCTATCTGGGCCAGATAGGGTTTTTTTTGAGTCTATCTGGCCAAATAGGGCCGACGTAAAGCCAAACCACATATTTCAGGGCGACCTGGGCTAACCCAAACTCCAGAACGCGAAACCAAAGCCAAAACCCCAGATAAAAGCCAATAAAAGCAAGCCAAACCTAAAACTCTCAGCCCTGCCCTAAACTCACTCAAACCCTGCAACAACCTGTTAAAAGGAGACCTGGGCCACCCTGAAACAACCCAACAACGACCCTGAAACAACCCTACAGGGGACGGGCCAGTTTTTTGCTCAAAAAAGCCCTATCTGGGCCAGATACGGTTTTTTTGCTCAAAAAAACCCTATCTGGGCCAGATAGGGTTTTTGACGCCAATTGCAAGCCCCCAGGAGGGGTGGGCGGCGCGGGGGAGGGGAGAGGGGGGGCAGGGAAGGGGACGGGCCAGGCCAGATAGGTTTTTTTGCTCAAAAACACCCTATCTGGGCCAGATAGGGTTTTTTTGCTCCCAAAAACGGCTTTTGAAGCAATTCCAAGCCCCAAACCCAACCAGGAGGGGTGGGGACGGGCCGGTTTTTTGCTCAACATAGGTTTTGTTTTGCTCAAAAGAACCCTATCTGGGCCAGGTAGGGTTTTTTTGCTCCCAAAACCCCTCTCTGGGCCTAGACAGGGTAAGGGAAGCCAATTCCAAGCCCCAAACCAAACCAGGAGGGTGGGGGGTCGCGGGGAGGGGAGAGGGGGGGCAGGGAAGGGGACGGGCCAGTTTTTTGCTCAAAAAAACCCTATCTGGACCAGATAGGGTTTTTTTGCTCAAAAAAGCCCTATCTGGGCCAGATAGGGTTTTTTTGCTCCGAAAAACCCTATCTGGGGGCCAGCTAGGGTTTTTAAAGCTCAAAAAAGGCAGCCATACCCGATTCCAAGCCCCTAATCCTTAAACCCAACCCAAAACACCAAAACTCTAGCCGAGAAGCTGGTGGAAAGCAAGCCAGGCACCCAAAACCCGAAAACCTAAACCTCAAAAGTCGGCTCGGGAAGGCCTTGTGTTTGAGTGTTTGTGGAGGGCCTTAGGTCCTACAGCTTCTTGGTGCCAAACCAGGTCCTTAATTTGGCTTAATTTCGGATTTCTGACGTCACTAATTTGGCGCTAATTTCAAAATGACGTCGCTGACGTCACTATAATTTGTACAGAAAGGAATCTGATGTGGCCGGAAAAAAAGGAGAACTACGAATACGGGGCGGTTTCGGGTTTAGCGATAGGGTTTAGGGCTCTTTCAAACTCTGAACTGCACAAAAAAAGGACAAATGTAGGGCTCGTGCTGGCCCTGAACCCCAAACCCCAAACGGCACCCCAAACCCTCAAACCCTAAACCCTAAACCCCGAACCCTATAAACACCAAGCGGTCCAGGAAAGGCCCTCACCGGAAGCGTCGCGTGCAACAGCAACTCCAGGACCTCTGTTGAGAGGGGGTTTAGGGTTTAGGGCTTAGGGTTTAGGGTTCAGGGGTTTAGCGTTTTGGGTTTTACGTCTGGGGTGGGCGGCAGAAGCTTGCTTGAGAGTTGAAGGTTTGGGGGTTCAGGGCCAGGGTTTGGTGCTTTGGGCGGGCGCCAGAAGCTTTGTTTAGGATAATTTTAACCCGTAAAGCCAAAGCCCCCGCTGGGAGCCCTAAACCCTCAAGCGAATGAATGGCTGTGGTTGTTCCAGGTCTCGAAGGTTTGTGGTCTCGGGTCACGGGTGTTGTGTGATCTGTCTAGGGGTTTAGTTTAGGGTTTGGATTTTCAGGAAGTGAAGGGCTTTGGGTTTGTTTGACGATGGAACTTCGCTAGGGCTCAGAGCCCTGATTGCGGGCACTTAGATTGCGGATTTCGTGCCAACTTTTGCTTGAAGACCCCCGGGTGCTGCACACAAAGTCGGGGATAGCCTGGCTGTCCCTGAAGATCCCAGTCGCAGGATTGAGAAGTTCTGCGGCAAAGGCCTTACCCCAAGCTCAAAACCGTACAGCACTACGCGTATCAGGTTTTAGGGTTTACCCAAAGGCTCCAATGTAGTTCCTTTTTGGGTTAGGTATAGGGGATTCTAGTACCCCCAAGAAAGGTACTACAAAGGAGCCTTTGGGTAGCCCAGATCGATGCCAAGAGGCATTCATGCCGAGAAGGCTACAAGCAGCGCTGGTGTAGGCCTGATGTCCCCCACCCTCTCCAAGAAAGAACAAGGAGTGCCAGTTCCCTCCTTCTTTTTTGGGGTCCCTGTTACAAAATGTGGCCCTTGTGAGTGTTCTAGGGATTTTCGGGGCAGCCCTCAGAAGGGAACTCTTGTCAGCAAGCCGGGCAGATACTCTGAAGTACTTCAGCCACGGGTTCTTGAAAGCCCCACACCCTAAACCCTAAACCCTAAACCCTAAACCCTAAACCCTAAACCCTAAACCCTAAACCCTAAACCCTAAACCCTAAACCCTAAACCCTAAACCCTAAACCCTAAACCCTAAACCATGAACCCTACACCCTGAACCCTAAACTCTAACATCTGGTGTAAGGTTTAGGAGGGTTTTGCATCGAGGCGGTTCGGGTAGACCTCCACCCAGCTGCTGTCTACCGAAACCCCTGCAAAGATCCAAAGACAGTGGATTCCTGTTAGGGTGCTCCCAAGAATGACACCATCATTGTGTAGGGTACTATTTGCGGTGGGTCTCTGCGTTTGGATGGGCAGCTTCTCAGCCCTAAACCCTAAACCCTAAACCCTAAGCCCTAAACCCTAAAAAACCCTTAAAGCCTAAAACCCTGAAACCCTGAAACCCTAAAACCGTAAAACCCTAAACCCCTAAAACCCTAAAACCCTAAAAACCTAAAACCCTAAAAACCTAAAACCCTAAAACAGAAAACCCTAAAACCCTAAAAGCCTCAAACCCTAGACCCTAAACCCTAAACCCGAAACCCTAAACCCTAAACTCTAAACCCTAAACCCTAACCCTAAATAAACCCCGAACCCCAAACCCCAAACCCTAAAACCCTAAAACGCTGAAACCCTAAAACCCTCAAACCCTAAAACACTAAAACCCTAAAACTCTAAAACCCTCAAACCCTCAAACCCTAAAGCTCTAAAACCCTAAAACCCTGAAACCCTAAAACCCTAAACCCTAAAACTCTAAAACCCCCAAACCCTCAAACCCTAAAGCCCTAAAACCCTAAAACCCTAAACCCTAGACTCTAAACCCTAAACCCTAAACCCTAAACCCTGCCCAACGGAGGCGCGGCTTCCAACAACGGCATCTGGGCTCTGATCTTGACAGGTTACTTGGAGGTTCAGGGCACTTATAACCCCCCCCTAAGTCCCCTAAGTCCTCTAAGTCATTAAGTAGGGCTCGAGCAACACTGGTCGGGCGCGGGCTGGAGACCTGGCGGAGGAGCTGCGGCGGGCGCGGTGTCGGCAGCACCAGCAGCGATCGCCTGTGGAGGGATGTCGCTGTCGATGACGACGATAGCTCCCCTCGAATACAATGTGCGTCCATTGAGGATGCCGATTGGCGCGCTCTCGCACGGCGTGCCGGCCGCTGACGTCCCACAAATGGGTTTCGGCGCGGGCGCGACGCGGGCCCCCCGTCATGAGCCCATTGGCCCGGATTGCCTCGACCGCCTGCCTGTTCGTGAAGTGCCAGAGGTGCGATCCGATCACCTGGCTACTCTCGCAGCGGCGCATGTAGCCGACAGAGTGGCCGACCCAGGCCGCCATATGGACTCTCAGTAGGCTTAAGATTGGGGTGATACCCATGAACCTCCAAGTACTCTATAAACACTCTACAAACACTGAACCCTGAACCCTACAAAGAGGATGCTCTACGTGGTGTCGCAGGCTGTACAAATACTTATGCTGGTACAGTGACATATGTACATATAAACGATGCACACACCTTCTGCATGGATATACACACGAGCATTTGGCCCGTGGATTTATATAGAGCATTTCACAGTTTCGCGCCTCTAGGTGTCTGGGTTTAGGGTTTGAACTAGTGGCGAGGCCCTCTGACAACTGAACTCAGTTGGGGGGGGGGGGGGGGGGTACGGAAATAGGGCACCCCTAAAATAGACCCCCCAAATAGTAGGATCCCCTTCTATCCCTAAACCCTAAACCCCAAACCCTAAAACCCTAAACCCCCCAGTTTGGCCGGGGCCCCGCACCAGGAAGAGGTAGAAGTACTTGTGGTTGGCCCAGCCCACCGTGTTTCCAAGCCAAGGACAGTGGTGGTCCATGCGGAGCACCTCTTGCGTAAAGGCATGAGGGTTTAGGGTTTAGGGTTTAGGGTTCAGGGTCTGGAGCTTAGGGTTTAGGGTTAGAGTTCAGGGTTTAGGGTTGAGAGTTTTTGGGTAATTCATGTCTGGTGGTTGTAACGAGAATCGAGCCGGTGCGTCTAAACAGGAACCATTTGAACTGGACACGCGCGCAATGAAAGCAACACACATATCTCAGCAGGCTGCACTCTTCGGGGTGGATTGTCTAGGGTTTAGGATTTAGGGTTTAGGGTTCAGGGTTTAGGAATTAGGGTTTAGGGTTTAGGGTTCTGCTGAAGGTTGGTTCTGAATGCGTGGAGGCACGTGGTGTGCCAAGCATAGGTGGCTTGCCTGAGACCGCTTCCTCGCAAGAATGTTTGTCAATAGCCTGTCTTCGGGGAACCCTACAGTGACCCTTACTGAAATCTCTGAGCCCTACCTGTGTAGGGTTTAGGGTTTAGGGTTTAGGGTTTAGGGTTTAGGGTTTAGGGTTTAGGGTTTAGGGTTTAGGGGTATCCCAGACCCCGCAAAGCAATAGGTGGCAGTCCCTCCCCGTAGCTACAGGGCACAAGACACAAGCACATCACATCCTGACCAACAAGAGAAGGTAGCAGCAGAACCATTACAGGCCCTTCGTCGCAATTCCTTTTCAAGGTACCATCTTTTCTGACACACAAGAAGGAAGCCACTAAAGTAGGCACCTAACAGAAAGCAACTAGAACTTCGAACGAAAGGCCCAGGTAAGGTGGCAAGGTCTGCCCTCAACTCTTCGGGTAGTTACATGGTCTCTTCAAATGGGCCCTTACAGGGGGCCTTACTACCCCATACATACCCCCGATATACCCTACACAACCCAAGGGCCCGTACTTCAGAACCCTTTTAAAGGAGGTAAGGGACCACATCACGGGCCCATGAACCCTTGGCCTTGGACCCTAAACCCTGAACCCTAAACCCTAAACCCTAAACCCGAAACCCTAAACCCTAAACCCTAAATCTTAAACCCTAAACCCTAACCCTAAACCCCAAAACCCCCCCAAAACGGGTCCAAACTTAGCCTGAGTCTGAGGAGTGGGCCACACGGTTCATGGCTCGACAGAAGTGGGCGCGGTCCGGCTTAAAAGCCTCCGACACAAACTGGTTTGGGGTTTGGGGTTTGGGGTTTAGGGGTTTCGGGGATTATAGGGTTTAGGGTTTGGGGTTTAGGGTTTAGGGTCTAGGGTTTAGGGTTTAGGGATTAGGGTTTAGGGGTTAGGGTTTAGGGTTTAGGGGTTTAGGGGTTTAGGGGTTTAGGGGTTTAGGGTTTAGGGTTTAGGGTTTAGGGGTTTCGGGGTTTCGGGGTTTAGGGTTAAGGGTTTAGGGTTTCGGGTTACTTCGACGTTGGGCCCCACCCCGAGCCTGTAAGTTTGAGGCTTAAAGCCCTGGGTTCGGATGTTCCCCCCCTTATACTAACAGTCCTTAAAGGTGCCGGAGTGCATCTATATAGTCGGAATACAATAGAAACATGCCTACCAGGGTCCTTATGACCATGTTCTTGGGGTTCCCTTTTGGGGGGTTCCCCTTGCAGTTCCTTTGTTGTTGGAACTCATGCTTTAATTGGGGTAGCTGTGGGTAGCTCTCTCGGTAAAGCTGGTTACCTGGCTCAACCCTAAACCCTAAACCCTAAACCCTAAACCCTAAACCCTAAACCCTAAACCCTAAACCCTAAACCCTAAACCCTAAACGTAAACCACAGGCCTTCAAGTCGACCTGTACCCTGTCCAAGGTTCAGGGTGACCTGGGCTTCAGGGTACATTCTGGTCCTAGGGCTTTTCCCAGATCTGATGACGCAAACCCTAAACCCTAAACCCTCAACCCTAAAACCCTCAACCCTAAAACCTTAAACCTCAACCCCTAAACCCTAAACCCTCTGAATCCCAAGTCCTGAGCCCTGCAAGCACTAAAGCCGACAAGGCCGTGAGCCCCTTACACTGCAACACCCTGACTTCCCCCCCCCCCCCCCCTGCCCCCGCCTCTGACTTTCGACACCAACGAGGCTCCTCGCCTGAGAACTTGAAAGGGACCCATCACACGAAATCCGGTAGGATTTCGGGTGTAGGGGCTGAAGGTTTACCAATGCTCTCTATGCCACTATACTGATCGGGATAGTGGCTAAACCCTAAACCCTAAACCCTACACCCTAAACCCCAAACCCCAAACCCTAAACCCTAAGGGTTTAGGGTTCAAGGTGCAGGGTTACGGATTCAGGCTCGCTCGTGGATCTGAAGCACGAGCGAAGATTCTCGGCGCCGCCCCCAAAGCGCCGCACCCTCCAAGTAATTACCGGTTAAGAAGGGCAGCAACCCAGAGGGTCCATTTGTATTACTATTATGGAATCAGGTACCCAAAAACCATACTAGATAGGGTTTTGAGGTACCTAATTCCACAATAGTACTACAAATGGTCCCTCTGGGCAAGAAGGGCGTAGCTGCATACGGGTACTTAGGGCACCAGTTGGAGGCATGTCAACTGAGACTCCCTGTTCCAGACGACTGCAATTGGGACTTCGTGCGGCTTAGGGTGTCTGGAGTCCAGGGTTTGGGCTTGCCACGGAATCAGTAGAGTCCAGGTAGTGGAGGGTGCTGATAAGCCACAGGTCCGTTACATGTTCGTGGAGTTCAGGCAGGATCTGAGGTTTTCGTTTTCCCTAAACCCTAAACCCTAAACCCTGAACCCTGAACCCTAAACCGCTTATACGGTCGTTGGGGTTTCGCCGCCTCGCTAAGCCCCTGAGGTCAGTGCTGAAGCGCTTCTGCTCGTGAGTCTTCCTGCGCGCGGGCTTCCCCTAAGTTTTTAGGGTATAGGGTTTAGGGTTTAGTACTTTAAAGCCCAAGAATGTAATGATGAGGTGCATGGACCCTTAGGGTTCTCAAAAGGACCCTACGCAGCAAGCCCCTCGTACCAAAAACGGCCATCTTCATCAAACGATCTGAACTCCCAGCGCCGAAAGACGGCGACGAAACGGACTTTCTTTCCAGGAGATGCGAACTTCTACCCCTGGTTGTGCCGGGTATACGAACATAAGGGACTCCTCATACATAACCCCCAAATGCTAGGATTCACTGAATTACAATAAGGACCCCAAGAATACCCCTTATTTCGGAAACCCCTAGACTCTTAACTTGGAAGCTGCATCTTCTTGTGGATCCTGAAAAAGGTCCCCACAACCCTCGGGAGCCACTATGGGCGTGCAAAGCTACTTGAAGGTTCAGGGGGTAGTTGTAGGTCGGGGTTACATAGTACCCTAAACAGGATTATAAGTATAGGTCTCGTGCCCTAAACCCTAAAACCCTAAAACCCTAAAACCCTAAAACCCTAAAACCCTAAAACCCTAAAACCCTAAAACCCTAAAACCCTAAAACCCTAAAACCCTAAAACCCGAAAACCCTAAAACCCTAAAACCCTAAAACCCCACACCCTACACCCTAATTACACCCTAAACCCTAAACCCTAAACCTTAAACCCTAAACCCGAAACCTTAAACCCTAAACCTCTACCCCCACCCATAACCGCCCATGTAAGAGTCCCCTAGGATCCTTCTCCGTTTCCTTAAGCTGCCCTTCCTCAAGGGCAGCTCTGCAAACCCTGAACCCTAAACCCTAAACCCTAAGACCTGCACCCCATGAACCTGAAACTCTTTGGAGTTTTGGGCGTAGGGTTTATGGGTTTAGGGTTCAGGTTAAACCCTAACCTTGTCTCAGGCACCATCCCGACACCTGGCAAGATCTGAAGCCAAACAACCGCCCTTCAGTTCTACCAATTGCTTAAGAAACCCGGAAAAATAAAGAATAATATTCCTTATATTAAGGGTAATATAGGGAATATTATTTTTTATTCTTTTGGGGATTCCCTGCCGCAAGCCCTCCGGCCCCATATACCCGAAATCCAAACCCCTCACCCAAAAACTGCCTCGAACCGCCAAAGATCACAGGGTTCTTAGGGGGGGAGGGGGGTCCATGGGGGCTAGGTACCTGAAAACCTTAAAAAGCTTAGGGAGCCCGAGTGGTAGGGGGAGTACTAGGGATCCTTGGGTTATATACACCCGCCCTCGAACCCCCAGAACCCTATAAAAAGACATCCTGATGCCCCGAAGAACCTACTAAACTCCGCCAGAAAGAGAAAAAAAAAAAAAACGACTCCAAACCCTCGTTTGGCGACCTTGGTGGCCGACTTCGATCGCGCCACTCCGGGCCGGGAGGGATGTTCCCCGGGTCTGTGCGGGCCGCCTTTTTGGGCTTCGGGCTTCGGGTTTATAGGGCTACACAAGGTGGGCGTCGAATTTTTCAGGCCCCAGTGTGCATGGCGGCTAGGAAGGAACGTTTATAGGGTGCTAGGGATATAGGGTTTGGGGTTCAGCCTGCGCAGGGTTCAGGGTTTAGGGTGGTCAATTTGGGGCCACATCGTTTTCTGGAAGACTTGAGCCCGGGAAGTTCGGTAGCTTCAACTATTGCTGTTCAGGTTTACATGCTGCTAAAAGGTTTAGGGTTTAGGGTTTAGGGTTTAGGGTTTAGGGTTTAGGGTTTAGGGTTTAGGGTTTAGGGTTTAGGGTTTAGGGTTTAGGGTTTAGGGTTTAGGGTTTAGGGTTTAGGGTTTAGGGTTTAGGGTTTAGGACTAACCGTTGCAGTTTAGGTATGGACCCGAATGGGGGGGGGGCATGAACTTGTGGGTTTTTGAAGCAAAAAGATGCTCTCGAAGTGGTGCCTGCCCCTAAACCCTAAATTGTAGGGGGTTGGGAGCTGGCGCCTCTAACAAACCGTAAACCCCCAACCCTTAGCGTACGGTTTTAGAACGAGAATCGCCCGAACTCGGCGCATGTGGCTGGACCCGCCTGCGCAAAGCTGGCCAAGGTGAGGAAGACGAAGGCATGGAAGACCAAACTGACTTGGCCTTGGGACTTAGGCTTGCTGGTTGGGGGGTTTATAGGGTTTCGGGTGCAGGGTTTAGGGTATAGGAGCTTCTATAGATAGAGATTTTGAAGCGCAAGCTCCAAGGTCTACTGAACACTAACCCCTTAACTGGTTCGACTGTAAGGATATATTTCGGCTGTTCCCCTCCAAACTTCCAGAGCTCAGGGTTGGGTTTGTACGGTTCGTAGGGTTTGTAGGGTTTACAGGGTCTTTGGTCTATTAGGTTTATAGGCCGTCTAAGGCTTAGGAAGTTTCGGGTTTGCAGGGTCTGCAGGGTTTATGGGGGTTGTATGACTTTGGGTATATAGGGTTTAAGGGGGGTTACAGAGCGGCATGTTCCCTAAACCCTAAACCCTCTAAACCCTAAACCCTCAAAACCCTAAACCCTAAACCCCAAACCCCAATTTGCCTATTCCTAAGCCCTAAACTAAGCCCTAAACCCTAAACCCCAATCAGGCTGCCCAGTAACCTAGGCTTAAAACAGGGTGCCCTTTTTTGCTTAAAGGGGTTTGTAAGGGAACCTAAACCCCCGCAAAAAGGGAATAAGGGTACTACTGGGCATCCTAGCCAAAGCTTGGAACCCTAAACCCTAAACCCTAAACCCTAAACCCTAAACCCCAAAGCTTGGAATCCCCTCAGTGGTCATGGGGTCGTGGATCCAGGGCTCTTCAGGCTTTCGGAAGAGACCCGTGCGACCGAATTTAGGGTTTAGGGTTTTTGGGGTTTGGGGTTTAGGGTTTAGGGTTTAGGGTTTAGGGGGTTGTACGGTTTCGGAGCCAAGGGATGGTGCAAGGGCTTCTGGATTCCTAGCAGGAGTAGCTCCTTCATGCCAGCACACCGGGTGTAGGGATCCTTCACAGCAAACTCCTAAGTATCCCATAAGGTTTAGGGTTTAGGGTTTAGGGTTTAGGGTTTAGGGTGATGGGTGATGGGTTTAGGGTTAGGGTTTAGGGTTCTCTGAAGCCCTCTCTGAAACCTGAACATCTAGCTCATCTTGACCGTCCCAACGGTAGCCATGCGATCATTGCACAGCCCTGCAACCCTAGAACCCTAAACCCTAGTTCGAAAATCCTAAGCTGACCAACCCTGTACCCTAAACCCTAAGCCCTGAACCCTATATAAACCCTAAGCTTGGGTTCGGCCGGTCCACACTAACAGTCAAATAACGCCGTGGCCTTTGTAACACACAGGCCAAAAATAGCACCAGGAATCCCAGTGAATATTAGCATTTACCGGGTGCTGCTTTTTGTGGGTCTGCTTGTGGTGACTGCTAGTCACATAGCACCAGAAACAGCACCAGAAATAGCACCAGGAATCCCAGTCAATTTTGGCAGCTTAGCATTTACCGGGTGCTATATCTTGTAGGTCTGCTGATGGTGATTGCTAGTCACATAGCACCAGAAACAGCACCAGCAATAGCACCAGAAATAGCACCAGAAACAGCACCAGAAATAGCACCAGAAATAGCACCAGAAACAGCACCTGAAATAGCACCAGAAATAGCACCAGAAATAGCACCAGAAATAGCACCAGGAATAGCACCAGGAACAGCACCAGGATTGCACCAGGAATCCCAGTCGTTTTTGGCATTTCCCGGGTGCTTTTATTTGTGGGTCTGCTGGTGGTGACTGTTAGTGTGGACCGGCCGAACCCAACCATAAACCCTAAACCTTGAACCCTGGAGACCGAACTGTAAAGGTGCGCTGAGAGCTTATGGCTTTGACCTCTTGGTTTAGGGTTTGCGGCAGAGGGGGTTCGGGCACATCTTGCAAGATGGGCCTGCTTATAAACTCCCTACTTAGGGTTTAGGGTTTAGGGTTTAGGGTTAGGGTTTAGGGTTTAGGGTTTAGGGTTTAGGGTTTAGGGTTTAGGGTTTAGGGTTTAGGGTTTAGGGTTTAGGGTTTAGGGTTTAGGGTTTAGGGTTTAGGGTTTAGGGTTTAGGGTTTAGGGCTTGGAGTCGACCCTAGACAAAAAAGGAACACACATTTTTACATATAACCAGCTATATTCGGAGCCCAGAACCGAAAAGTACTAAGGAATGGTACTCCAAAATCCAGAATTGGTGTCGGGCGCTTAGGGGGTGCACACAAGAGTCTGCTTGACTAGAATGTGCCGTTTGCGCAGCCTGTGCTCGCGATTATCATGGACAATGTGGGTGCATCATGCAGGCTCCTGTACCGGACTGTCTCAAAAACATTGGGCACCTCAGTCTACTCCGAGGTCGCAACCCTAACCCCTAAACCCTAAACCTCAAACATGTTAAACCCGAAGCACCAAACCCCAAACCCCAATTCCTAAACCCGAGACCCGAACCCTCTAATCCCTAAACCGTAAGCCCTAAACCCTAAAAAAACTCCTAACTTCAAGGCCCAAAACCCAACTTAGACTTGGCAGTCGGCTGTTCAAAGCGAGCCCCGCTGCAGGAAGATAGGCGAAAACAAATGCGCTGTACATCATCACCAGTAGCCTGCAGGGTTTAGGGTTTAGGGTTTAGGGTTTAGGGTTTAGGGTTTAGGGTTTAGGGTTTAGGGTTTAGGGTTTAGGGTTTAGCAGGACTTAGGAGGGGGGCTTAGGGTTGAGGGTTTGGGGGGCTTGGGGTTAAGGGTTGAGGGTTTACGCCAAACCCCAACCCTAAACCCCAGGTGATAAACTGGGGGCTGGTCTCTTTCGCATGTCGAAACAAAGAGGCATTTCAGCTAGGACTGGTGGTATCAAGGGGGTTGAATTCCCCTAAACCCTAAACCCTAAACCCTAAACCCTAAACCCTAAACCCTAAACCTTAAACCCTATAACCCTAAACCCTGGATGCCTCAAGAAGCTTTGGGTTCATGGTTTACAGGGAGGACACGGCGTGAAGCTGTGTTTCTCTTGTATGCAAAAGAAGAAAGCTCAAAAGTTTTAAGAAGGTCTAGGGTTTAGGGTTTAGGGTTCAGGGTTTAGGGTTTAGGGTTTAGGGTTTAGGGTTAAGGGTTTAAGGTTTAGGATTTAGGGTTTAGGGTCTCAAGTATTGGCCAGGTCAAGTAATTACAGCACAAGGGTGCCAGGAGCATTTGGCATGCTGCACTCTCGGCTCTTCCACCCAACTCTCCTGAAATAGGGTTTAGGGTTTAGGGTTTAGGGTTTAGGGTTTAGGGTCTAGGGTTTAGGGTTTGGGGTTTGGGGTTTTCTGAAACGATGCTTGGCACTTGTCCTGCCCGACCAGACGTTGCTGCGCAGCAGCTGCACGGATTCCTTGTTAGCTCCGAAGTCCATGTCCTGAAGATAGAACAGCTGCTGAACCCTAAACCCTAAACCCTAAACCCTAAACCCTAAACCCTAAACCCTGAACCTGCTGAAATTGCTGACTTTGGGCTTGACAGTGTTCCCCCTCGAGGATCATGGCGACGTGCGGGTCGCAGCTGGCTTGCAAAGAGTCCCCCTGTTGCGGCTGACTGCTAGCTTTGCGACTCGAACTTGACGGCCCTAAGCCCTACAGCCCTAAGCCAAAAAAAACTAAGCCTGAGTTCCTCAATCCGAAAAACCGCAGTCTTACAGCCCCACCCCTCCCCCCCATACCCCCCCCCCCCCTCAAAGGGGAAAAACAGGCCCAGGCTCCCCGATAAACTAACCCCTGGAGTCACACAACCGAAATAGAAACTAGACCCAGGAGTAACCTCGGAATAAAAAGGGTACCGTTTTCGGCTTGAAGGGGATTCTAAGGGAGCCCCAACCCCCAAAAAGGAAATAAGGGCCTACTCCGGGTCCCAGGAAACCCTGTAAGCGCGCACCTTGAATCCAATCACAATAGGAATCCCATATCGCAAGCCGAATCAGCAATTTTAGGGTTTATAGGCTTTACAGGCTTTATTGGGTTTATAGCGTTTGGAGGGTTTATGTGGTTTACAGGATATATAGGGTTTACTAGCAGGATTCATTGGGTTTAGGGGGTTTCCGGGTGCAGGGTGTGGCGCATGAGGGTATTGACCGCAAGGTTTGCCTTAAAGTAAGCCCTGACACCCCCCCCCCGAACCCTAAACCCGAAACCCCAAACCCTAAACCCTAAACCCTAAACCCTAAACCCCCCTTGAACCCTAAACCCGAAACCCCTGAAGGGCTGACTTCCCATCTCTGACACGTAGCTGGGAGCCTGTCTTGGTAGCCCAGAAAACCATATTACAAATAAGGGCACCCCTTTTTTTGGCTGGTTGCTTTATGAGGGAACCCAGAGCAAAAAAAAAACAAAAAAGGTAAAGTAACCACATTATAATAAGGGCACCCCTTTTTTTTGTTGGCTGGCTACTTTAGAAATAAGGGAACCCAGAGCAAAAAAAAAAAAAAAAAAGGAAAGGGTACCTCTGGGCTACCGAGCTGTAAAGGATGCTGGGCTCTAAACCCTAAACTTTTTAAACCCTAAACCCTAAGCCCTAAACCCTAAGCCCTAAGCCCTAAACCCTAAACCCTAAACCCTAAACCCTAAACCCTAAACCCTAAACCCTGAACCCTGAACCCTGAACCCTGAACCCAAAAAAAACCTTAAGGGTTTTTGGGTTCTTACGGGCTCTTATGGCTTCAGGGTAGAAAATCCCACTGGGTCTAGGTGTGCAGATTTTTTGGGGGGTTTAGGGATCTAGGGGTTTGGGGTTTAGGGGTTTAGGGGTTTAGGGGTTTGGGGTTTAAGGTTTGTTAAGGACTCTTAGGGGCTCAGAGGCTGGCATGGGTCTCTTCGTAGGCGCCCGCACCCGATGACGAACATCACCGGGAGCTGGCTGTGAAGAGCCGGCTTCCTTCCAGGAGCCGGGAATCCTAAAAACCCTAAAAACCCTAAAACCCCTAAAAACCCTAGAAACCGTAAAAACCCAAAAAACCTAAAAACCATAAAAACCCTAAAAGCCCTAAAAACCCTTAAAACCCTAAAAGCCCTAAACCCTAAGCCCTAGACTCTGCCTAAACCCTGAACCCTAAGCCCTCAACCCTCGACCCTAACCCCGAGGCCTAGACCCTAAACCCTACACACCAAGCCCTATTGCGCATGCTCATGAGGCTTTATTTGAATGTAAGGCTATAGGGACTGAGGTCCAGGCACGACGGGCAGCTTAGTGCGCAGGGCATTCATGCTCAGCCCTCCTGAATGCTTCGATTCACCGTGCAAGTGAAAAAATCACCAGCAACTCACGGAGCAACCACTCCAGGAGTTCAGTGGCCTAAGCGTACAGTTGAGGGTTTAGGATTTAAAGTGTATAGGGTTTAGGACTTAGGCAACTCTCAAGGTCCCTCCCGGCCCCGATAAGTAGGTAAATAAACAATGAGCCTAGACTCGAAGGGTCAAGGGTAGTGAGGCCGCCTCACACCCTGCACACCTAAGCCCACAACCCAAGCAGAACCCTGAGCCCTACTACGGCCCTAAACCCTAAACCCAAATCCTTCACCCCCCTCCCCACCCAACTTCTTGCCAGCAAGGCTGCTCTGGTCCGCGGGTGAACTTCTCCAAGTCAATGCAGCACAGCGCCTCTCTCTGTCTCTCTCTCGGTCAAACTTCATTCAAACCTCTTAAGGTTTGAGCCTGAAAGCAACCGAAGACTGAGTTGCCTTGATGCAATAGCAGGTAGCCCGAAACGCCTGAGGCTCATGTGCTGGCTAAGTAGGTTTTAGTTTGGGGCCTCAGCTGTCCAAGGCTACGCCGGAAGCGGATCAGGTCCGCAGCAAAGCTGAAGCGCTAGTCTGCCTTCTATCCCACAGGGTTTAGGGCTTAGGAAGCCGATGATGCCCAACACCCTATAAACACTGGATCCGAAATCCCAAAACCTGGACCCGATGTTCCCGCGTGACCCTTAGCCCTTGAAAGCCGAACACTGGGATCGTTGCTTCAAGCGCTGATGGAGGTTCATGGGTAGTTACAAGTAAGGTTATCAGTATCCTAAGTAGGTTTATAAGTATAGCTAGCGTAACAAGCGTAACAATAACCCTACTTGTAACTCCCCATCAACCTCCAAGTGGCCCCCCCCCCCCCCCCCCCCAACGGCTCCCACATGCGAACGCCTGAAGTAGCTGGGCACTGCTGTGCATGCACTGGTCCTGGGATGCAGGTGGCGTCTATAGGGTTTGGGGTTTGGGGATTGGGGTAGGGTTTAGGTTTAGGGTTTAGGGTTTAGGGTTTAGGGTTTGGGGTTTGGGGTTTGGGGTTTGGGGTTTGGGGTTTGGGGTTTGGGGTTTGGGGTTTGGGGTTTGGGGTTTGGGGTTTGGGGTTTGGGGTTGGGGCTTAGAGTTAAGGGTTTCGGGTTCCAAACCCTAAAACCCTCAACCATTTGAACCTGCAATCCTTAAAATCCCAACCCCGCCTCAAGTTAGTTCGGGCCCCAAGAAGGGTGCCATATTGGGAGCAGGGGAATGGGAAGTATTTACGCTATCTTCGAAGATAGCCCTAAACCCTTAACCCTAAACCCTAAAACCGTAAATCGCGAAACTTTCGGAGTTCTCGGAAGCACCATCTGGGCCACCGACAAGGATGTGTTTCAACTGCTTTGGGGATGGAGAGACTTTACGAAGTGTTTGTGGAAGCTAGGACTTTTGTGTCGCGTGGTATCTATGATTTCGCGTCTTCTCTGCCCGAGGCCCTATTCCATGTCTATTCTGCGTTAGTTGTCGCTGTCATGCTACCTTTTTGCTCTTATGGCTCTTGGGGGGGGGGGGGGGGGTGGGAAGGTTTGGCTTGGGCCCCCTTCTGAAGCTACCAGTTTTGGGAGGCTCAGAGTGCAAGAGTTTTCGGGCTTAGGGAGTATTTCTTTAGGGACCTCACGGCCCTAAAAAGGGGCTTCCTACGGAGCAGCCTTACTTCTGTAGCAGTACACTTGGGCCCTTGAAGGTGGTTCCTCTGTAGCAGCTCTAGGGCCCGAGTATAGACTACCCTAAACCCTAAACCCTAAACCCTAAACCCTAAACCCTAAACCCTAAACCCTAAACCCTAAACCCTAAACCCTAAACCCTAAACCCTAAACCTAAACCCTAAACTCTAAACCCTAAACCCTAAACCCTAAACCCAAAACCCCTAGGCACGTGGAGTAGCTTTAGGGGCCTAAGCATACACGACCCTAAGGGTCCATGTAGTTGTTATATACTTGGGGCCTCAAGTCCCTATATGGGAAGTACTGTAAGGCCCAAGTATGTAATAACCCTAAACCCTAAACCCTAGACCCTAAACCCTAAAAATAAGGTGCATGGACCCTGAGGGCTACCTGCCCTAAGAGGCAGCTGATTGCAAAGACAGGGTCCACCCAGTGACCGACATTGTTCATGGCGGTCTTCGCTTCGTCCACAACCTGAGCAAGTCATCTATGAACCACCACGCACACACCCCGAATTGGGTTTAGGGTTTAGGGTTTAGGGCTTAGGGTTTAGGATTTAGGGTTTATAGGGCTGGGCCGAAACGCGCTTGGTGTGTTTTTGGGCTTTTGGGGGGCTTAGCAGGGTTTAGGCTTACTCGTTCATGGTTGGGTAGCATTAGAAACTTATCTGTCTATTCCTTATTCAGTTTTAAGTACACGCAAACATTGTAACATGTTACCCCCGACCCTATAAGGGTGTTGTTGGGCTAAGGGCCGTTTAGGGTTTGTTTGGGGTTGAACCCTAAACCCTAAACCTTAAACCCTAAACCCTAAACCCTAAAATTTTAGGGCTCAGCTACGTCAAGCCGCCAGGTTGGGCGCTAGGCCTGCGGAACATGGGTTTAGGGCTCAGGAATCAAGGATGCCCCTCTTGCACATGAACCCTATAAGCAACATCCCTGCGCCCCCTTAGACCCTAAACCCTAAACCCCAAACCCTAAACCCAAACCCTGCATTTAAAGAACCCGAGGTAGGGCTTATCTGAAGTTAAAGGGCGTAAACGGGCTTCGGTGGCACGCAGCCTCCCACGACTCAAAAACCCCGCGGCCAGCGACTTCGTGGCGCTTTGGGGGGGTTTAGGGTTTAGGGTTTAGGGTTTAGGGTTTAGGGTTTAGGGTTTAGGGTTTAGGGTTTAGGGTTTAGGGTTTAGGGTTTACCTTTCTGGGTTTCGGGCCTTGGGTTTGGAGTCTGGGTGTCCGGCGACTCCACCAGTTTGTATCGACACCTGCAAAATCCCGGCAATTCACAGTCACTTCACATGGGTGACATGTATGTCACATGTGATCCCGGACCCGACAGGTTTAAGGTTTATAGGGATTTGGGGTCTAGGGCTCGTCTTGGGGGCTGACCGACCCCCAAACGTTGCTACACAACGCCCTATGCCAATGGCTCAGGGTTTCAAGATTCCTCCCCGGTGTGCTAGGGTTTAGGGTTTAGGGTTCAGGGTTCAGGGTTCAGGGTTTAGGGTTTAGGGTTTAGGGCGTAGGTTTTAGAAGGTAGATCTTCGAAAACAGACACGAAGAGTTGTGATTCAGAACTGGGAGGGTTAGGGTTTGGGGCTTAGGGTCTAGGGTTTGGGGTGCTGATCCCCAAGGTCATAAAATAAACCCTAAAGCCCCAAACCCATGCTTCGAATCCCAAAGCATAGGTCAACACTCCATGTTTTGGCGGCTCTGTGGCGTCCTGTAGGCTTCGAAGGGGAGCTGGCGTGAATAACCCAAGAGGCGACTTTTTCAAAAGGTGCCTGACCGTAATCGAGTCTCGTGCTCTCGTGGGTAAGTTTGTTGTAGGCCTAAACCCTAAACCTTTAAACCCTAAACCCTAAGCCCTGAACCCTGAACTGAACCCTAAACCCTAAACCCTAAACCGCTAAGGTTCACCAGCCCGAAAGGGACCCATGCAGGAGTTCCTATGCATACTATGTAGCTACGTGGACCCTTTGGGTGTAGTTCTCCTAGGTGCATCTTGGGGGACAACCCTAAACCCTAAACCCTAAACCCTAAACCCTAAACCCTAAAGTCCCCATAAAGAGCATACGCTGCACCCTGGATCTCTGAGTTCGGAGTCCGACACCCGGAGCCCCAAACTGCCTTGAAACCCCAACCCAAGCAAAGCTTGCCCTAAACCCTAAACCCTAAACCCTAAACCCTAAACCCTAAACCCTAAACCCTAAACCCTAAACCCTAAACCCTAAACCCTAAACCCTAAACCCTAAACCCTAAACCCTAAACCTAACCCTAAACCCTAAACCCTAAACCCTAAACCCTAAACCCTAAACCCTAAACCCTAAACCCTAAACCCTAAACCCTAAACCCTAAACCCTAAACCCAAGCAAAGCGAAGTCATGTGCAGGGTCTTGGGGGACTTTAGGTCCGGGGTCACACCTCGACGATCTTGAGCAGGCTGTCGAGAAAAGGCCTGGCCTCCGAGATTGTTCTTGCTAGGGTTCAGGGTTCAGGGTTTAGGGTGTAGGGTTTAAGATTTAGGGTTTAGGGTCTAGGGGTTTAGGGTTTAGGGGTTTAGGGTTAAGGGGTTTAGGGTTTAGGGGTTTCGGCTTAGGTTGCTGCAAGGTGAATGGTTTAGGGTCCAAGGCTAAGGGACGTTCGCGCCGATAGGCATCCACAAGATGCTAGGGTTTTAGGTTTAGGGTTTAGGGTTTAGGGTTTAGGGTTTAGGGGCTACCAAAAAAGTTTCCGCAGGCGGAAGAAGCCCAACGAACACGTTTTTGGGCACCCCTCTCCGCCTGGGCCATCGAGGTCGAAGGGCTTAAGGGGCCCTAAGCCTTGAGTTTAGGGTTTAGGTTTAGGGTTTAGGGTTTAGGGTTTAGGGTTTAGGGTTTAGTGTTTAGGGTTGAGGGTTTAGGGTTTAGGGATTAGAGCTAGCTGAGGCCTTTTGGGGGCTTCTGAGGTTTCTCGGGCATGTTGAGGGCCTGAAAACAAGCCTCGAGCACACGTCAACAGCAACCCAAATGATTGAGATGGTCCCCTTGTTAACCCCTAAGCCCTATACGCCGGAACCCTAAATACGCCGGAAACCCTGAAGCCTATGAACCCTGTAGGGCTTCTTAGACTCCCCAAAAACCCGAAACCCTAAATCCTAAAGCCTATGCAACCAAGAAAACCCCGGCCACGACTCGCGCAAACTTGGTTCCCATCCGTCTCAACTGGTTCTTCGTCCGGAATGAGGGAATGATGCACCCTATATACTCCCTTAAAGGGTATGTATGTATGTATGTATGTATGCATGTATGTATATATGTATATATTATACATATATATATAGGGCCCTAATCTCCTGGTTGGGATGTTCCCCCTTATACTAACAGTCCTTAATGGGGATTCTAACAGGGGGGGGGTACTAGAACCCCTAAACCCTAAACCCTAAACCCTAAACCCTAAACCCTAAACCCTAAACCCTAAACCTTAAACCCTAAACCCTAAACCCTAAAACCTAAACCTTAGCATCAGGGGGAACATCCCAAGGCTTAGGCTCAATAGGCTTCTGGTGGCACCTCGGTAGTTCTCTAAATTGGCGCCCCTTCAGGGGTTCATATTCTTAAGGGTGCCGTACTATCTCATAGGGGACCCCATTCATTTCTCAGAACTTCCCACATACACAATGTAGACGCCTTGACACCCCGGGCGACAAGAGGAATGACTATGCGCCCTAAACCCAAACACAAAACCCCCAACTTCCCCAAAACCCTAAGCCCCATATCCCTAAACCCTCTATAGAATCCCTAAACCCTATATAAAATCCCTAAACCCTATATAAAATCCCTAAACCCTATATAAAATCCCTAAACCCTAAACAAAATCCCTAAACCCTCTATAAAATCCCTAAACCCACACTTCCCAACCCACCATGAAGACGGACGCCTTCTGCACCACGACCTTTGCTGCATCTTCCGGACGCAACTTCTGCGGAAGTTTCTCCTTCCCGCCGGTACCCAAGGGATTGGGGCTGAGGGTTTAGGGTTTAGGGTTTAGGGTTTAGTATGGTCTAGGGTTTAGGGATAAGGGGCTGAGGGGTTAACTTCAAGGCTTTGAGGTCCCTAAAACTCTAAACCCAGAGACCAGGGTGCACAGGGATTAGCTTTCAATTGTAAGGCTTGCCAGTTTCCAGGTCTTTGAATAGAACCTCTCTTCTAACCCGACAGCCCCAGCCTTCCTAAAACCCTCAACCTCATCCGCTTTCAACACCGGAAGCGCACAGAACTGCACACAAACACAACACTTGTTTTGTTTGATTTTGATGTCATTTATTCATGTATCTTATGTTGTCCTCTCTCTTTTTTTGAAGGGGGGGGGGGGGGGCGGGGTGTTAGGGCTACACGGATCATGGGCTATAAGTCATAAGTGGAGTTGTTTCGTTCATAGAGCGAGGTGCTTGCAACCACCAGGCGCCGAGCAAACTTCGGGGAGGCTCCAGGGGCTCAAGCTTCGGGCTCAAGGGGGCTTAGGGCTTAGGGCTTATAAGGGCTTAGGGCTTAGGGCTTAGGGTTTAGGGCTTAGGGTTTAGGGTTTAGGGTTTAGGGTTTAGGGGGGCCTAGACCCTAAACATCAAAAACACTCAGCTCGAAATCCCAATTCCTACGGCCCTAAACCTCAAATCCTGCCCCCAAACGCCTCAAACCACGCTTTTGGCCTGGGATTCCTGAGGTGTTCCCAAGCTCTTCCACAAGGATTCCCAAGAAACCTAGTAGCAATCTTCGGGTACTTACAAGGGCCAGCAACATGAGCATGAGCCCTTTAATTTCAGGGACCTTATATGCCCTCTTGCAAAACCAAGGTCCCAGAATTCAGAACCCGCACTTGGAACCTAAACCCTAAGCCCCAAGACTAAAAACCCCAAACCTCAAAACCCCAAAACCCCAAACCCCCAAAACTCCCCGCAAAAAAACTCTAAACCCCGAACCCCCAAAACTAAACCAAATCCCAAACTCCAACAACAATAACAAACAGTCCCCCATCAGCAACACAGGCTTGCAGGCCTTGGAGAGAATTGGAGCCATGGCCGAGGACTCCGACTGCCTACCCTGAAGCCCCCGAAATCTCCTAAGATCTGTGGAGAATTTATGGCTTCGAATTCGCAACCCTATAGACTCTGAACCCGAGACCCTGAACCTGCCTAAAGCTGGCCCCGCATGTCTGGCTTGCAGAAGCTTCGGAGACTTCGGTTTAAGATTTCGGGCGTAGACGTGCGAAAATTCTGTTGACAGTCAACGTTCAGCTTTGGTGTACTGTATCCTTGAAGTCTATAAGACCGAAGCCCTCGGATTCGAACTGCGGCCACGGGATCGTCGAGCCTTCTGCTAAGTAAGGGCCTCTTGACACTGACGCCATCTACCGCACCCACTTGCTCTCTGTGGTGTGTTACCACATCTGAGCCAGAGAATCATTGAGCGCCTGGCATAAAGTCGCACAACAGCCTTGAAACGCCTGCCCTGCGTAACGCCGCACCAAACGCCTCAACCTCAACACTGAGTTTTGAACGGTACAGGGCAATATACAAAGAAACCATGGTCAGACTGTCTGCAAGTTTTGGCGGGCACTTCTAAACCTACACTGATAACTACCCCGGAGCCTTCAAGCAACACAAACGCCCTGGAATTGCTTATCACCCCCCAAAAAAAATCGGTCCAAGGAACGTGCTGAAAGAAGCCCAAACCATCTAAAGGGTTTAGGGTTTAGGGTTTAGGGTTTAGGGTTTAGGGTTTGGGGTTTAGGGTTTAGGGTTTAGGGTTTAAGCACGTCTTCAGCCCCAATCTTCAAGCTTTCAAAGCCGACCCGGAGGTTGCTCCCTCAAAACAGAAGCAGAAGAGTTACTTGGGTGGCTGTCAAAATTATGATCCCTTTTGGGGTACCCTAAATATTAGGTGCCGTATTATAATAGGGATCCAAAAAGGGAGCATCATTTTGACAACCACCCACTTGGAGGTTCATGGTACTTACTAACCAATTATAGCTGTACTTATAACCTTACTTATCATACCCCTAAAGGGCCTTCTAGGGGGTATCCCAACTATATGTAGGGTTATTAGCCCAGTTATAAGTGGTTAGTAAGTACCATGAACCTCCAAGTAAAGACAAGCTCCTGATAGACCAAAACTATAGTTCATGGCTGGGGATAGTACTCAAAAAACACAGGTTTCTATTCCTTATTTGAGTTTAAGTACCCTTTAAGAATGTAACATGTTGCCCCACTATGACAAAGAAAAGCCCAGTACCGAGGGTCTCGGGGTGGAGGGGCCTAGGGCTGTATGGGGGCTTTCTCGTTAAGAGCTACACATACTCCCCTTAGAACCTTAATTAAAAAAATATGTCTAATATCCTCCTGGGTGTTATATAAACAAAAAAATCCCAAGGGTGATATAGTACGAGGGTATTCAGACATTGGAGCTGGAAGCATCCGAAAAAAGTCCTCTGAGCTCGAATCTGGGGGACCCTCAGCCCGAAACCCTAAACCCTAAACTAAACCTTAAACCCTAAACCCTAAGCCCTAAGCCCTAAACCCGAAATTTGTGGAACCCGGAACCCTAAACGCCTGGAGGGGGGAGTGCCACCTGTTGTGGGTCCAGATGCCTCCACAGGGCCAGGCGAAGTCGGCGCGAGTCCTGGACGAAAAGCCGCGATCTTCGATTTAGGGGTTTTAGGGTTTCAGGGCTTAGGGCTGTTCAGGGTTTAGGGTTAGGGCTCAGGGTTTAGGGTTTAGAGGTTCATTTCTGCGTTTCTTGTCTTTTGCAATGGCGGCTAGTCTGGTATCCTACCGACAATTATTCAGCGGTTTAGGGCGGGGAAACTCAAAGTAAATAACTTTTCTTGAGGTTGCCCAGCAACCAACTGCTAAACGGGCACCCTTTTTCTGCACATGAGTTTCATATCCTTGGGGGCTACATTGGTCAAATACCCGAAACTACTATAATCTCGAGTAAGTCATAGGGACCATAAACCCTTGTGGGATTCATGTAACCCAAAGAGCCCAATTTTTTTCATTATATGATATTTTAAATGTAAGGAATAAAGCTTCAATCACACTGAGCATCCCTATATAGTTTAAGGTATCTTTCTCTTGGACAGTTTCCAGTAGCTACTTCGAGGAAAAGGGTCAAGCCGAAAGAAGAAAGAGCAGAGAAGCACGCGCGATTTGCGTGGCAAGGCGAGGGCACGTCTCCTGACCCCTACTCTGCGCGTAGTCGGTTTAGGGTTTAGGGTTTTAGGGTTTAGGGTTTGGGGTTTAGGTTTAGGGTTTAGGGTTTAGGGTTTAGGGTTTAGGGTTTAGGGTTTAGGGTTTAGGGTTTAGGGTTTAGGGTTTAGGGTTTAGGGTTTAGGGTGGGTCCAGTCTCCCCTACAGTAAATCCTTCGGTGCGGTTTAGGGCTTAGGGTCCCCCCAAAGAAGTGCCTTGGGGGGGTAAATGAACCCTAACAGGGTTTATCGTCCATATACCCTGATAGGGATTGTTTTTTCGACCCAGGGCTTTAGGGTTTTGCGCTTATAGGCTTCAAGGCCGCCTGTCAACCCCAAAACCTAAATCCCCACATCCCCAAACCTTATAAGTCCCACACCCTAAACCCCCAAACCCTAAAGCCCTTTTGGCTTCTCGGGTCTCAGCACGACGGCTCATAATTCGAAGAGGGATCGCGCGAGGACCCAGTAGCGTCCGCCACTCTGCTCTTGAAGCGGCCTCCAGTCGCGTGTGAGATTTACCATCTCTACAAAAGAAAACCGACTCTGAACCTGGGGGTTTCTCAGATTTCTTCGGGCGCCGGGCGTAGGGTTTTGGGCTCTAAGGAAGGGCTTCCACAGAAAAAAGACCCTCGAACCCTGAAAGAAGGACCCCACTCCCAAGCAAATGAGAAAACAAAACAGGGCTTCCCTATTTTAGGAACCCCACCAAAAAAACAGGAAAAAGACCTCATTGTGAAGGCTCTTGAAGCTTCGATTGGATGCTAACAGCCTTAAGAGCTCCGCTTTGTGAACGGTAACCTGATCATTTGCAGGAAATCTTGTGCTGCTATGGAAACGTAGAACAATACAAGGGCCGAGGCTTTAGAGTTTTGGGCTTAAAAACCCAAAACCCGAAACCCTGAACCCCAAACCCTATAGACCCTAAACCCCCCGGGAAAACCCTTAAATTAGGGTACAGAGGCAGATCAGACCCGGGGATGCCCCAAGAAAGCCCAAAAAACGCCCTGAAGTGCCACTGCAGGAACTGCTTGGAGGTTCATGGTACTTATTTGGCCACGGTTTAGGGTTTAGGGTTTAGGGTTTAGGGTTTAGGGTTTAGGGTTTAGGGTTTAGGGTTTAGGGTTTAGGGTTTAGGGTTTAGGGTTTAGGGTGTACTTCTAACTGTACTTATCACCATGTTGCAGCACTGAAGGGGCTAATAAAGTGGGTTAGAGGTACAGTTATAATTGGGTACCATGAACCTCCACCCTAAACCCTAAACCCTAAACCCTAAAGCCTAAACCCTAAACCCTAAACCCTAAACCCTAAACCCTAAACCCTAAACCCAAGTGAACTTTGGCCGCCAGGGCGCTCGAAATCGGCCCGGTAGCCGGTTTCCTCGGCCAGCTGCTTCGCCGCCTTCCCGAAACCCCTAAACCCCAAACCGTAGAAGCTGAACCCTCAACCCTGAACTCCAAACCCTGAACTCCAAACCCTGAGCTCCAAACCCTCAACCCTCAACCCTAAACCCTAAACCCTAAACCCTAAACCGTACACCCTGAACATGACGGGTGGCACTGGGAAATGGTGTACCTGTCTAACCAGGGCTTTGGGCGATCTAACCCTAGACACTCAACCCTCAACCCCAGCACCCTGAAGCCGAAACCTACATCCCCAAACCCAAAACCCCTAAATAGGGGATAGGATTAGGGGGACCCTTGGGGATATAGACCCTCTGAATAAGGTCCCTGTTTTAAGAGAGCCAGAAGAGGGTTAAGAAGGGGTTCCCTTTTAAGGGTCCCCCGGGATATAGACCCTCTGAATAAGGTCCCTGTTTAAGAGAGCCAGAAGAGGGTTAAGAAGGGATTCCCTTTTAAGGTCCCCCTTATCCTACCTAGAACTAAACCCCTGCAAGCCTCAGGCCCTAAACCCCCAAACCCTTAACCCTAAACCCCTCAACCCCCCAAACCCTAAACCCTAAACCCTAAACCCTAAACCCTAAACCCTAAACCCTAAACCCTAAACCCTAAACCCTAAACCCTAAACCCTAACCCTAAACCCTAAACCTCTTTTGAACAACCAAGCAGGCCTGGAGGATCAAAGGTGCGGCCTCTGTCTGCACCTCGGTCTCTGGGCTGCTGTTGGGTCGAAGGTAGAAAGTAACATGAGGGCCTGCAGGGTTTAGGGTTTGGGGTTTAGGGTTTAGGGTTTAGGGTTTAGGGTTGCACCTTTAAGGTTTCTAGGTACATAAGGCTTGCAGGGTTTATAGGGTTTTATAGGGCTTTATAGTATGGCTTATCGGGTTGATGGAGCTTATGGCGCTTGTGGGATTTATGGGTCTTAGGGTTTAGCGGTTAGTACGGGAAGGGTCGTACGGCGAGGGCTGGCTTAGAGATGCTGAAGAGTTTAGTACTAGAGCTCTTGCAAGGCCCCTAAAACCGTAGGTTTAGGGTTTAGGGTTTGGGGTGTCGGCTTTGGGGTTAAACGCTAAAGCCCTTTCGTCCCTGAAAAAACCCTCAAATCCTAAAGCCCCTCGAAAGCCCCCTAAGGCTCCGCTAAAGCCCGTACCCACAGCTTGACCCTAAACCCTACACCCTAAACCCTACACCCTAAACCCTGAACCCTAAACCCTACACCCTAAACGCTAAACGCTAAACCCCAAACCCCAAACCCTAGACCCTAAACCCCAAACCCCAAACCCCAAACCCTAAACCCTAAACCCTAACTGGGACTCCGGCTCGCGGCTTTGTGACGAGGGCCTTTGGCCCCCAACATGGGTTTAGGGGCTCAGGGATGTAGGGTGCCCTAAACCCTAAACCCTAAACCCTAAGCCCTAAACCCTAAACC